GAAAGCAGCATGAGTCAGGGGTTTGGGAAATATGAGTCATACTGAAGGGCAGGAGCCAAAAACATAGAGAATGAGGGCCTAAGCAGGGACTTAATGGACACCACAGAGACGTGGACACAGTTGCCTCTACTAACTCTGACAGAAAACCAAATATGCAGTTCCATAGACTGGGGATCAGTGCGATAAAGAGGCTAGGAGTGAGAGCTGAGCGAAGATCAGCTGGATTATTTAACGCAGTGATGATGCCAAAGTCAGCAAGAGAGAGACCTACAATGGTATAAATCACTAGAAGGGAGAGTGTGGGCACATTTTTGAAAAATGAGGGAATCACCAAATATTGCCATTAGCTATTCTTAATACATTAGAATGATGAAATGTGAGTTGATTTATGTGTCGTGATATTTTAGGAAGCACATTCTATTATTTTGTACTTTGGTAATGTTTACATTAGGCTGTGTCTACATAGTTCAGAGCTGCTTCCTGTGGTGTTCAGTCTAAACTCTGATCACACCTTTGCTCTGTGCTCTGTGCCGTGCTCAGTCGTGTCCAGCTCTTTGCAGCCCCATGGGATGTAGGCCACCAGGCTCCTCTGTCCATGGGATTTTCCAGGCAAGAATACTGGAGTGGGTTGCCATTTCCTCCTCCAGGATATCTTCCCAAGCCAGGGATCGAACCCACGTCTCTTGCATCGGCAGGTGGATTCTTTACCACTGTACCACCTGGGGAGCCCAATCACACCTTTAAGGCCTTGAATTTTGCTCATGAGTTGAGTTACCATTTTATGAGCGCCTTTAATCAGGCACTGCACCAAACTCCTCATACACAGTACCTCCAGCCATGCTGACTGCAGCTGTTTGCCATTCTTCTCATGCAAACCACTTCTATCTTATCAGCATTTTCTAATGTGATCTCCCTTCTGCTTAGAAATAGCCTCCTATTTCTTTTTCTTTTAAAATTTTTTTTTCACATGTGTTGTTTCATTTATTTTTGGCTGTGCTGGGTCTTCATTGCAGCACAGGCTTCTCTCTAGTTGCAGTGTGTGGGCTTCTCATTGCAGTGGCTTCATTTGTTGTGGAGCACAGGCTTCAGGGTGTGTGAGCTTCAGTAGTCTGCAGCTTCTGGGCTCTAGAGCACAGGCTCAGTAGTTGTGGCACATGGGCTTATTTGCTCCATGGCATGTGAGATCTTCCCCTGACCAGGGATCGAAACCATATATCTCCTGAATTGACAGGCAGATTCTTTACCACTGAGCCACCAAGAAAACTCCTAGCCTCCTATTTCTGCCAGTCCACATACCTTACCTTTTTCAAAATGCAGCTCAAAATTCACCTCCTTGGGCCAGCCTTCCACCTCTGATGCTGCCTTTTTCTTTTCTAGCTTCTGTATTTCTCTACTCCATTGCTTTATAGCCATTTCCATTTGCTGACATTTTGGTGTGTTTCTTACATTTTGCCTGTTACTCTGTCTTGTAAATGTTTAGTTCTGTGAGATAAAACACTGACCCTACTTTCTTTAAACTATAGGCATCCATTCTTAGCAAACAACCTTGGTTCATTCTTCCATTTATTGTACAATTATGCTTTGAAAACCCATCATGTTTCATGGACTCTGTAAGGTTCTAGGAATACATAAAAAAAAGTAATACATAGACCTTGTCCTCAAAGAACTTGGTTTCAAGGCCCAAGAAACATGATAACTGTCTACCTAAAGAAGCTAGTGAGCTGAACTGTCAAAAATAACTTACAAATCGTTTAAAAACAACACAAAAACTCCTCTCCCCAGAGTACTGTTTCCTAGATTATCAGGGAAACTGTGGCTGACCTGAGTAGTTTCCCTTATGAATAAAGAATTGCTTTTGTGAGTAAGGTATTCCCACCACAAAGGACTTTTATAAACATACCTGGGAAAGCCAGGTCTGCTGGTGCATCTGCACAGAGATGGATATTCTGCTTTGAGTTTCTAGCATAGTAGTATATTTTAGATGCATACAAGTAGAAAAAATAAGCATAAAAGAGTTTAACAATGTAAAATGACTTTTGCATGATTTTGTGTACATGTGTGAATAAACAATAACAAGATCTCAAAGAACAACTTTCAAATTAATAAAACCATGTTATTTAAATAAACCAACAAATTTACAGTCTTACTGAAGATAGTTCAGAGAAATCTGGTTTATCTACACATCCTTCAGCATTACATAACTTGCAAAGAGAAAAGGAGATAAATATTCTAAACCCAAGTCAGAAAAGCCATAAATGAAAATGTAGTCTGTTCATTTACTAGCAGATGCAGCTCAAAGTATAAGATGAAGCATCCATTCAACTCCTTTGGAACAATTTCTTAAAGGGGATTTCATGCAATTGTGTTTTATTGAATTTCAGGGAGTTTTCCCATCTGAAAGAATTAAAACTAAAAGAGAATCCAGCTAAGTAGAAAGTACATTAAAAATATCACCAGTCAATCCTAGGTGAGGGAAATCCTGTTTCAGTTTTGTTTGTTATTGACAGAGAAAAGAATATAGTGGCAGTAGAGATGGTGGCATTTTATTTGCTTTTTGGGTTTTTTTTTTTATTGAATTACTTTAATTCACCTAATACTTTTATTAAATTATCCTTCTTAGAAGGTAAACAAACCTGGCTCTTAAAAAGGAACTGGTCCAGGGAGCATGACTTTTATATATGAAACCTATTTAATGATATATTAATTCCACTGGAAATGTTAGCCTATTTATCAAAGAGAACTGAAGGGGACAAAAAAAAAAAAAAGAATAGGAAGGAAATCACATCAGGAATGCGATGGGGTGGAGGCAGTTTGCAAAGGGATGTCTCAGAAAGAAAAGCCACAGTCACTGGTGAGGCCTCCTTTAGAAAATGCAGCAGCCAACCCAAGCCCTTGATCTTCTGCCAGCATGTACTGAGGAAACTTGCCACATCTGAATCTCACATTGCTGTATCTCTCAGGGCTGTTATCACTGCAAATGCTGGCAAATGTTCTTGACATAAAACAATAGGAATTCTGCTGTCATTTCTGTATTAGCGAGTCATAAACCTCTGAAGAAACCCCAGTAGACATGTTTTCATCAAGTGCATATGAGAAAATAATAAAAGACACACCAAAAAAAGCAGATAATTTCAAAGAAAGATTGCTGTACCTTTGCACAGTACCTAGAAAGGACAGAATTGTAATCACTGATTTGAAAATAGCAATAAAAATTTTCAAAACAGACATAAAAATAATAACAAAAATTTTGCCAGAACTTTAAACCCGGATAATAAGAATTATGTAAGTAGATGCTTTTATAGGTTATTATCCAATAAACAGCCAGGCACCCCTAGGGGATTCTTTATCTCCCCTCCCTCTTTCTCTTGGAAAGAATCCCTCTTGTCTTTTCCACACCCAGCTAACCAAAGCCGATATCTGAGGACAACTCTCTTATAACCTGAGCTTCCTACATTAATATACTGAGTAGTGTAAGTGCAGCAATTATGCTTGAAAATAAAGGAAGATGAAAGGCAATACACCTGGGGCAACTCTCTGAGCCTCTTAAAGGGAAGGCAGGATTTAGGAATAAATTCTAATTATTGATGGTTCATTTTCAGTACTGATTTTTGGCCCACTATTTCCTCCAAAGCAGCTCCATGGGTCTACCACAGTGATGATTCAGACACCCCAAAACCTCTCTCAGTTTTTATGCAAAATCTGTCATCTAGGAATTACAAATTTTAGATATTTTTAAATGAAGCTAAGAGTCTTCAGTTGTTGAAGAATGCCAAAATTTCATAATCTTTTCATCTGTGCTATTTAACCTCATAAAATGAGTGATTCAAATGGACGCAAAGGTGATGTGGAGAAGGCAGAACTAAATTTCACTTATAAATTATTCCAATACGAGTACACACACACAAATCCACATCATATTTTTCCCCAGACTTTAAACTTTTTATTTTGTATTGGGGTAGAGCCGATTAACAATGTTGTGGTAGTTTCAGGTAAACAGTGAAGGGACTCTGCCATGCATATACATGTTGATCTCAAACTGAACATTTTTTTACTTTTCTAGAACTAAATCTACCTACTCCTTAAGGTACATTTAGTAAATTATTTCAAAACGTGAAATGCTTTGGTAAAATATGTATTTTAGACTACACCAGCCTATCTCTCCTAGAGGAATATGACTAAATTTAATCCCTTTTATTTTGAACTCTGCAATGAAAAGTTTATTCATCCATGTTATGCTAAAGTTTACACACACAAAAAAAAAACAGCAACAAGCAATGCATAACATTAAAGCTTGATTTTTACCTAGATATTAGGCAGACTTTTAGAGACTGGTCTAATAATTTTTAGAAATAATTAGAATATTTTATTATTATTTTATTTTATATTATTATATATTATATTATATACATTGAATTGTATTATATATTAATATATACAATATATATTATTAAATATATTATTATATATTTTATTATTTTTTAGAATGATTTTTAGAAATTACTTCAAATGTGATATATTGGGTGAAAAAGCAAGTATCATACAATTTAACATTTTAAAACACCCAAACCAATACCATATATGCTAATGGGTGCATATATGTTCAATGAAAGTATAAAAAAAAAATTTCAAGGAAGGATTCACACTTACCAGGATGGTAGTAGGTGGGTGGATAAAGGGATGAGAATAGAGTAAAGCTTTGGTTACACCTCCAGTGTTTCATTTCTTAACAAAACAAAGTGAACTGAGGCGTGCGTGGCAGAATGTAGTATTTGTTAAATCTATTAATAAGTTATATACAGTGGCATCTATGAAATTATTTTCTGAACATTTGAAATAATCTATCATTTTAAGCATTTCCGATAAAACAGTATTACAGAGTAATGTTTTAAGAATAGAGTGAAAACTTGGTTTCTTTAAGAAAAGTATGTCAAAAAAGATGGAGGAAATACCAACATCTCCACAGTCAACTCAAACTCTTTCTGTGCTCTTGTCTTTATCAGACATAGATGAATGCACTGCAGGGACACACAACTGTAGGGCCGATCAAGTGTGCATCAATTTACGAGGTTCCTTCACCTGTCAATGCCCTCCTGGGTATCAGAAGCGAGGAGAGCAATGTGTAGGTAAGTACAACAGTGCAGTGAGCCAAGTCCTGTCTGGAGCATCTTAATTGTTTAACCCTCAGGCCTTCAAGTCAAAGCACTCATCTTTATTTGCAGAATGATAATGCTTATTCTTTCATTGACTACCAACCCATTTTCCATATTAACGATAAAAAAACAACTTTATAGGTTAAGCATATTCTGGATATCAAAGTGTCAGTTACATCTTAGACTAAGCAAAAGCAGAAACTTAGGGTATGAGTGAGACCACAAAAGCAAAGAGAAAAATCATTTAAACTAGTTATTTGGTGTCCTCGCTCTAAAACACTGATGCTATGGGCTTCGTTCACTAGGCTTTAGTGTAACATAGCTCACAGAGCAAGTGTGTGCTGTGTGTGTGCCCCGTCACTCAGTCATGTCCAACTCTTTGTGGCCCCACAAACTGTAGCCCACCAGGCTTCTCTGTCCATGGGATTTTCCAAGCAGGAATACTGGAGCGGGTTGCCATTTCTTACTCCAGGGGATCTTCCTGACCCAGGGATAGACCTGCATCTCTTGCATCTCCTTTATTGGCAGGTGGATTCTTTACCACTGAGTCACGTGGGAAGCTCTATAGAGCGAATAGTAAGGTTCAAATCCCAGCTCCATCCCTAACTCACTTTGAGTTACTTAAATCCTCTGTGTCTCACTTCTTTCCTTTGTACTGTGGAAATAAAACCAGCCCCTATCTCAAGAGCTCATGTGCAGGAGTGCTTAGAATGGTGCCTGGTCCTGGGTTGAATAGTTGTGTGCCATCATTATGTAATGAGTTAACAGACTTGTACTAAACATTCTTTATGTTACAAGTGGCTCCAGTACTAGAACCTCAACACGTGAGTCCTTCTTGAGAGCTCCAGTTGAGTTCTCTGAGGGCAGGAGCCAGGTCTGGTTTGTGTCATTGTTGTTTCCCCAGTCCCTGAAGTCTGCCAGCCAAGTAGATGCTCAATGCATGCATATTGAATGACTGAGAGAACACAATATGGGGAGGCTGGCAAATAAGAAGTCAACTAAAGTGTTCTGGGTGCAATCTTGAGGCCCAGCACTACGATGAAACTCTGTAATTGACTCCCTTTGTCCACTGACTTACATACTTCCTCATACCATTAGATCAGTGAAGAATCCTTATTTTCTCTCAGGAACAGAGGATAAAAATCTCTGGAGACAGGCAACGCCACATTCAATTTTCACCAGTGAATGTGAGCTGTTGGTGTCAGGGTGTCCACTCTGAGCTCTCATAGGCCCTGGCCCTGCTCTCTCTGCCATGGGGCTCTGCTAGGTGCTGGGGCTAGTGTCTAGTCTCTGATGAAGGACCAGGAATTTGCAGTGACTGAAGCTGTGATTTAGGAGAAAATTGTTTGGAAAAATTCATAGGCACCAAAGTTTTGCCCATTGTATTAGTCAGGAAAATAAACAACTGAGGGTATAATAAGTATAGAAGAAGAACAAACCCAGCCTACTATGGGAAGAATCAAAGCAAATGGAACATATGGTTAGAGCTCTTTATGATACAGTAGGAGATGTCCTTAAATTCATATCTAATCATGTGACTTCCCTGCTGTTCCCCTCACCCCCTGAATTAACACTGCATTCCTCAACAGCATATAAGGTCTTACCCATCTGATCCTTGCCCAACTCTGTTGTAACAACACCCTTCTCCTGCCAAAACAATTACACTTTAGCTTTGTCCCATGAGTTATAGTTCCCCAATACATCACACAGTGTCACACTTTGCTACCTCTGTATAAGCTTTCAGTACCAGAGACATGCACTCCTGACAAACTCCTATTCAAATCTTAAATTCCAGGTCAAGGTCACTTCCTCTGGGAAGTATTCCATGATCTCCCCAAATATAGTCACTCCCTCCTCTATGCCAGTAATTCTCAAACTTTGGTGGATTGTTTTTGTAAATTTCTAGCCTGTTATAGATGAATACTTCTGTAGAGTACAATAAGAATGTTGCAGTAACACCAAATTGCTATTCCTAAACACATGCTCCCAATTTCTATACTTATTCATTGTGGACTGGTCCAAATAGACCAGCAGTGGTCAGCAAGTCACACTTTGAGTGGAATGGTGCTCCCTTTATCTCCTGTACACTTTTCTATTCTTGATCTTATAATTCCATGCAATAATTTGTTTTCATGCCTGTTTTCCATACAAGATGGAGTAGAGTATACATATGATTATCATCATATGTTTAGCAGTGTAAACCTACATTGCCAACCACAATGCTAACAAATAACAAAGGTTCAGTGAATGTTTACTTGTTGAAAAGACATACACCATTTATTCATCAAATATTTATTGATGGCTTACTGTGTGCTAGGTGCTGGACCACTGTGGTAAACAAACAGATTTCACAGAATCACGGCCCTCATGGAGCTATTAGAAAGTACCAATTACATAACTTAGCTATTGACATTGTCACCTGGCTATGATACTAGGTACTAGAAGGACTGTGCCACAGCTGCTCTTAATTAATATGAACTTTCCATTCATTCAACTAATGTTTATTGAGCACGTACCGTGCCAAACCCTATTCTAGGTATTAAGCACACAACAGACAAAAAATACTTTATCTCTACCTCAAGGGGAGAAAATGGATCTTATTTGCCATGCATTATAGTGAGGAAGACAGACAAGAAGCAAATAAACACATAACACAATGGCAGGGAGTGTCACTGGCTTCAAAGAAATATAAAGCAGGATTAGGGGTAGATGGAGCAGAAGTTATTTTATATGGATGGACAGAAATGGCCTCCCTGACATAAAATCTGATCAGACAGCTAAATAAGTTAGGAGGGAAGCTATGTGAACATTGTTATTGTTTATTTAATATTCAAGTTAAATCACATATATTTGCAGCTTATTCATAATAGCTTTCATTTGTTTTTACCTATTTTGTGCAAGGAAGTTTGCCTATATCATTTCATGTTATCCCCCCAACAACCCTACCACATTGTTGTATTATTACTCACAAAAGAGGAAATGTAAACTCTGAGAGGTTAAGACCAAGCTAGTAAATGCCAGAACAAAGACTTAAACTCAGGTTACCTTGTGGTATACTACCTACTTGAGCACACTGCCTCCCACACTTATAGTTATTAAAATACCAGAAGAGTTCAGCATAAAGTTATGTTTTATTTTCATTTTTCCTATAAGATAGTATCATTGCATTGATAGTATATAATTATTATTTTAAATTACACATGCCATATTTGAGTTGTCACAAAGTGTACAGTTGTGAATTAATGAAATTCTATTATGTTTCTAAAATATTAATTCTATTCTGCAAGTTCTCAACTGAGCATTTTATAGTTGGAAATATTTATATGAGAAGGACACAGGCTGGAACATTTGATCAGTGTATCAGAAAGGCACTCTCAAAAAGTAACTTGTTTAGTATCCCATTCCTTCCACAGCATTCTTTCACTTGATTCTCACAGAAACTTCATGAGATACACATAGTAAGCTTTACTGTCTACATTTTATGGAAGAAAAAACAAACTACTGAACATTTGAGTGACTTCACCAAGGTCACCAGCGGAGCACCAGCCTCCTTTCTTAGTTTTATACTGTATCTCAATTCTTCCATAGTTCTTTTCTACTTCTATAATTATAAATAAGCTTTTATATTCCCAGCCTGACATTCTCACTTATATGTGAAATAGTTTTAATTACTTTTCCCTCTTTAAATCTCAACCCATCCAGCCAGGTTTATGAAGTCTTTGTTCTTAACATCTCATTTAGCTACAGAGGGCATACAAAAGTTATATTTAAAGCACATATACCCTAATTTTTTAAAAAGAAAAATAATTACTTTTAAAATGAGGTCTCCAGGTTTTCTAGATAATGTTCTGCTGAGAACTTGAGATTAAACAGATCAATAATAGTAATTTGGATAGTCAGTAATTTGGTTCTCTTTGCATGTGTGCTTAATAACCTAGATATAGACGAATGCGCCATCCCTCCATACTGCCACCAAAGATGTGTGAACACGCCAGGATCATTTTATTGCCAGTGCAGTCCTGGGTTTCAGTTGGCAGCAAACAACTATACCTGTGTAGGTAAGTCTTCTGGAAACAGCCAACCAATTTCTGTCTTTCCAGGAGTATCTCCAGTTTTCTATATTCATGGTTTCCATCAACTTCCCCACATAAAGCTGAAAAGACAATAACCAGTCTGGTTTCTAAAAACACATCAAGATGTAAATGGTAAAAATTTTTAACTTTTGTTTTAGTTCTCCATTGTGACAGTATCAAAAAAAGGTTTTAACTATAGATCAATTGATATACACACACCAGTTAGTCAACAGTGTGTGATACAAACACTGAAGGTGCCAAAGTGTTTACTACAAGTTTAGATACATAAACTTTCTGCTGAGAGTGCATCTGATTTTCACATGCTTCTGCTACCCTTTCAGAATGCAATGTCACAGCACACAATTTTAAGATTGGCATGACATGGAAAAAATCTAGTGCAGGAAAAATGCCTTTTCACAATATTTTCAGTGCCTTAGAGCATTGCAAAACTCTGTATGGGTCTCAAAGGCTTATGTTATAATTGTAATGGAATTTAACAGGACCCATTTAAAAAGTAATAAATAGCACAGATAAATCTTCACTACAGCATGCTGAGAGACCATATCAGTATGTGTCTTATATCAATTATTTATAGACTTGGCATTTTGCATTTGAACAATAAAAGAAAATAGATATTGGAATGTATATTTATTAGAATCATTAAATTCTTTTGGAAAGATTCATCAAACACCAAACTAACCGTCATTCCCAGGAAAAAAAATATTCTGGTATTTCTAAAAGAAGTACATGACAGATGTTTGAAGTTGTTCCAATAAATATGAGACCTGAATGGATGTTCTCCAGTGAGCTTCTGCAAGGCAAAGAATCCAGCTAGGGAATTACTCACTTATCATCCGATGACATATATAAATATATATATGTCATAAATATATAAGTGTGTATGACCTTGCCTTTCAGATATAAATGAATGTGATGCCAGCAATCAATGTGCTCAGCAATGCTACAACATTCTTGGTTCATTCATCTGTCAGTGCAATCAAGGATATGAGCTAAGCAGTGACAGGCTCAACTGTGAAGGTAAAATATCATCCAAATAATTGGTAGTAATAGCACAGTTCCTGTTTTTGCTGTTGCTTTATCCGAGTATATACCTGTTTAAGAAAGCAAATTTTTATTATGTTCTAAAATCCAGTTAACTTAGTTCACTTATAACACTGTCTTTTTAGTATGTTATCAAAAGAAAGGAGAAAAAATAATTGAAATACTAGATGTAGGCTGGGTCTTATAATTAGCAAGGGTACTCTAGTGTCTTGCTTCTCAAGTGTGATGGGCCAGCAGAATAGGCACCTCCTAGGGGCCTGTGAAATTGTAGACTCTCACGCCCCAGCCCAGACCTACTGAATCAAATTCTGTGTCTAATGAGAATTCCAGGGGACTAGTGGCATATTTAAGTTCAAAAGTAGCTGATTGCATGTCAGGAACATTAGAATAGAAACCAAAAGATCTGGCCCCTAGGCATCCCTGCCACTGCATGCTCAGGGCACATTTCTTAAGGTGCCTTCGTTTCACTCTCCACATGATCAAGAAGAGGGCCATTTAACTAGAGGGATCACCATCAGAGTCCACTGCACATGCTCGCTCCACTGTGTACTTCAAATGGCCTAAGACATCCTGAGGGGGATGCCATTGACACTTCACGCTCTTGACTTTCTCACAAACTGTCCCAGCTTTACTTGGGGCCACAAAGGTCACACCCTACACAGAGAGGCCTCCCATCATGCCTCTGCACTCAAAACAAAAAGGGGGTTGGCTCGGGATGGCTGCCTCTGCCCTTCTGAGCAAACTGTAATAACAGCACCATTAAGAAATGCAAATCCTTCTGCCAGGGCATCAACCTCTAGAAGCTTGCACAGGGTTGGAACTTGGGAGTTCAAAACTCAGATGAACTTGGAAGCAGAGCCACCTAATTTCTGAGAAGGCAAATATGAATCTGCATCAAGGGTGGGTCTGCCAAGCACAACACGAGGATCATCAACCACAAACCACTTCTTTCAGTCTGCTCAGCTAGGATGGTTAGTTCCAGGATTTGCCAAAGTGTCAGCAGTAATTGAGTAAAACTGATGGTAAGAAAATTCTCTGCTCTGTGAAGTTCCATGAGAAATAAGCTGATATTGTTAGAACTTGCATTTGAGCCTCTTATAAAGTATTGCATTTCTGTTTCAGAGATTGCAATGTTTTTTAAAAAATTACCAAAATAATGACATGTAAGTATTCAACTCTATGTTGTTGCTTTTGTCTGGTTCAACAGACATTGATGAATGCAGAACTTCGAGCTACCTGTGTCAGTATCAGTGTGTAAACGAACCTGGGAAATTCTCGTGTATGTGCCCCCAAGGATACCAGGTGGTGAGAGGTAGAACATGTCAGGGTAAGTTTATCGTTTTCAGATCTGTTAAGTTTTAACCAAGAAAAGCAGGGAGGAAGTATTGGAATCTCCACCACAGACTCTTGTTTTTTACAATTTGAGCTCTTTTTTCCCCTGTTGATCATGAGACATGCACACCTCATAAAGAGGATATTCAATGTTATCTTTCTTTGAAATATTTAAAGTAATAATTTTTTCTTAAAATAGAAATAATTTTAATAAAATATTAATATGCATTCTAAATAGCCTACATAATTCCTATGATATACATCCTCTAATCATCCACCAAAAATGATTCAATTATTAAAATATTTCACCATGAATTCAGTGTAGAACATAAGCTTAATGTGTGGTTAGGTGTACCTTAAAAAGATCTCAATTCTCTAAAACATTAGGATTATAAACTGGATAGTAATACATGTTGACAAAATCAGCATCATGTGTATTAAAATGTGCCTGAATTCTTCAGTCAAAAAAAGAAACTATTCATCCAAAAATAGCTAATGTCTTTTGATCCAGTTTTAAAATAAATATTTAGGTGATCTTCATAGTGACATATAGGTAGAAGATGCAGCTCCCTACATAGGATGATTTCAGAATTTCTCTGAAAGATTTGAAAATCCTGGAAAATTTGGTACAAACATGTTTATATAAATAAGTGAAAAAAAATGACTGAATTTGAAGACACAAAATCTGTTGAAGACCCAACTATAAGACATTCTATCTATACAATTTTAACAAATTATTAGACTTCTCTGAGCCTGAACTTTCTCATTTGGAAAAGGGAGTTGAGGGAATGAAATGGAATAATACACAGAAAAACTATAAACTATAAAGCCTGGAAAATTCAAGATGTTTTTATGAAATTTACCTAGCAATATAAATGACCTAGCAAATTTTTTCTAGAAGGACAGTAAAATTTTGCTAAGAAAAGAAAATATCTAGGAAAGGAGATAAGATTCTTAATCTGCATCATGATTTTTCAGGGAAATATTAACTCACAGGAACATCTATTACTTGATACTTTATAGCATGCATGTGATTATTCAACTAGAATCTAACCACAAAACATGAGCATAATCAGAATGTAGTTCATTACGCAAGTAACATCTTTCTACCCCTTTCAAGGTTACTAGAGACTCTGTAATGTTAATTGTGAAAAAACATTGCATTCCACAGGTTTTATTTTCTGAACTCTAATTGAGACTTTTAACATGAATATTACATGCAGGAAAATGTTAGCCAGAGGGTTATCTTAACCAATTTCCCTGGAGCCCTTCTAACAAATATCTATGTGTTTTTTAAATCAAAAAATGGACTTGATACCCAGCAAAAGACAGAAACAAGTTAACACTCAGTTACCTGCCTACTTTATTAATATGGAAACATTTGTATCTGTTATGATGAAAGGTGAAATGCAGTGGAATTGCAAATAAGGGATTCATCAGTGTTATATCTTAAAGAATATTTGTTAAACTAAAACATTTTTTTGTGACAGAGACCATTCTTTTAAGATATAAAACAACTGGTTTACCCCACTGAAAGCATCCCTTCCCAACAGTCCACAGGTTAAATTAATACCAAAAGAGTTTCGATTCTCACCTTCCCCTAAAAAGTTTATTTGGGGGATGAAATAACTGTTCTCATTTCCACAGTCTTGCAAAAATGAAAACTTTCTGTGTATGTGCTTGTTGGTGTGGGGAGGGAAAGGGACAGTGGTGAGGAAGAGAAACAGAGAGAGAGAATACTCAGATACACAGACACACTCATGAAATATTTTAATACTATTAATCATTTCTGAAAAACCTTCCAAAATGATTAAGGAGCTGATTATGCTAGGCTGTAAATTACTGGAAGTAATAAATAAAATTACTACATAAAGTTTCCTTTTGCCACTTTTGAACTCCATATAAAAAACCAGTCCTGTAGTTAAGCAGCATCTTTATTTTTCAAAAAAGTGAAAAATATTGAAAGGACAAGTCAGCTGTGATTTCTTCTGAGGAATCTAAGTTCTTTCTTTAGCCATAGCCAGTCCAAAAGAAGATACTTTTTGTAACTGACTCTTGGAAACTGCATGGCTTTTCCAGTCTCCTCCTGGGTTCCAGATAGCTCTTGCCAGTTTGGAAGCTAAAAGAAAAATTTTTTTCTCCAAAGACAAAGAATGGAATTATTCTCATTTAGAGGATGCAGTACCTTGTGGTGGAAAGATGCCTGTCACTATCTGTATACACTTGGATGAGACACTTAACCCTTATTTGTTTTTCCTTCATGTCAAATAGAGATATCTTTCTCACAATCTCCACATGTGTGTGAACAACTTAGTTCAGTTTCAGTCAGTCAGTCAGTTCAGTCGCTCAGTCGTGTCCAACTCTTTGCGACCCCATGAACCACAGCATGCCAGGCCTCCCTGTCCATCACCAACTCCCTGAGTTTACCCAAAATCATGTCCATTGAGTCGGTGATACCATCCAACCATCTCATCCTCTGTCATCCCCTTCTCCTCCGGCCCTCAATCTTTCCCAGCATCAGGGTCTTTTCAAATGAGTCAGCTTTTCACATCAGGTGGCCAAAATATTGGAGTTTCAGCTTCAACATCAGTCCTTCCAATGAACACCCAGGACTGATCTCCTTTAGGATGGACTGGTTGGATCTCCTTGCAATCCAAGGGACTGTCAAGAGTCTTCTCCAACACCACAGTTCAAAAGCATCAATTCTTTGGTGCTCAGCTTTCTTTACAGTCCAACTCTCACATTCAGTTTAATATTTGCTAAAATCCAGGTGCCTCCAGTGCATTCATGCTATGTGAAAAGGGATAAAAAGATGTGCACGATGGCGCTTACCCTCCAGGAGGTTACAAGCTAATAGAAGGATTGAAACAAACATGCAGATTTCAATAATGCAAAGCAGAAACCAATAAAGGCCCCAAAAGAGGAAAAATGAGATATAAGAATTCAGAGAGAAGAAAGAGATCACATCCCAGCAACTAGGCTATGACTGCCTTGTTAACAAGAATTCAGTAAATTATTTATGGAATAAGTAAATTAATTAATGAAAATATCTGATTGTGTGGAAGGAATGATTCAGAAAAGACTTATATTGGATAAAATCTTATCATTATTCAAGTGTAAAGAGAGGCACACATAAGGATGTGCATATTAATGTAAGTTTTATCATTGTTGTAAATGTAACGGTTCTCTGGAGAAACTGTTCTCTCAGATATCACCTGGGAACTCTTGATTCCCAAATCTAAACTCAGTCTTTGTCCAGTCTGACCTTTCCACAGCCCTCCTTCCTGAGACTCTCTCCTGTTCTGACCTCCTTGAACAGCATTTTCCTGGGTTGCTTCTCACTGCTGAGAGCCCCTTCCTTAATTCCTCTTCTTCCCCATGATCTTTAAATAGCCACATTCTATGGGCTTCCGTGGTAGCTCAGCTGGTAAAGAATCTGCCTGCAATGCAGGAGACCCCGGTTTGATTTCTTGTTCAGGAAGATCTGCTGGAGAAGGGATAGGCTCCCCACTCTAGTATTCTTGGGCTTCCCTTGTGGCTCAGCTGGTAAAGAATCTTCCCACAATGTGGGAGACCTGGGTTCAATCCCTGAGTTGGGGAGCTCCCCTGGAGAAGGGAACAGCTACCCACTCCAGTACTCTGGCCTGGAGAATTCCATGGATTGCATAGTCCACGGGGTTGCAAAGTCAGACACAACCGAGCGACTTTCACTTTCGCATGCTGGAGTGCTTCATAGCTTCACTTCTGCTCCTGTAAACAGCTTCTTAAGGGCAGTGTAACCCACTCCCAGGGCACCAACTATCCAGCAGCATGCTACAACTTACTGAAACCACATTCTAGCTTTTCCCTCTCTTCAAGCTCCTGAGCCTGACAAACTTCTATCTCCAGTTTTTGTCTGATGCTTTCTCACACTGGAAGGCCCTCCCCACCTCATGATAAAAATCCTATCTAACCACCACCTTTTCTAGGCCAAGTTGAGAGGGCTCCTCCTTCCTTCAGCCTTCCCTAATCCCCCAAGAAGTGGTGTCTTTCACTTTTATTTAAGCAGTCAATGGCCTAGCGTTTGGCTTTGAATTCAACAGATGAATAATAGATGCTTGATAAAATACGATGAAATGACACATATTAATCTGTCGAGAATGGTTTCACTACGTCTGTTCTGAATTAAATGCAATGAATTCAGGTCCCACCAAGTTTTAGGTCTAAATCAAATTAAACAGTCCAGATTCTCTCATATACCTCCTTCTGGTGGCAAACTGGCATCTGCCACTTAGGCAATTTACTTATATCAGTAAACTCTTTGACTCTGCATCTCTACAGATATAAATGAGTGTGAGACCACAAATGAATGTCGGGAAGATGAAATGTGTTGGAATTATCATGGCGGCTTCCGTTGTTACCCACGAAATCCTTGTCAAGATCCCTATGTTCTAACATCAGAGAAGTAAGAAAAACCAGAACTTTTGAAACTGAGAATCTTCTGATTTTACCAAGCCTAACAGTGAATACTTTTGTCTCTGCAGCCGATGTGTTTGCCCAGTTTCAAACGCAATGTGCAGAGAACTTCCTCAATCCATCGTCTACAAATACATGAGCATTCGATCTGATAGGTCTGTACCATCAGACATCTTCCAAATACAGGCCACAACCATTTATGCCAACACTATCAACACTTTTCGGATTAAATCTGGAAATGAAAATGGAGAGTTCTACCTAAGAGTAAGTATCCTGAGGGCAACCTTAGCTGTTGAGAATGGTTCAAGTTTGTTGTTGTTTGATAGTAATTCACTTGGAAAGAAAGCCAACATTTAAAGAGTTTTTATGTGCAGGCATTGTGTAAGGCCTTCCTGTATGGATTATCTCATAATCCTCTTGATAATATTGATACTTGGTAAGATTAATATTTATCTCCATATTTTACAGAAAAGTGAGACCCAGGGAGATGAAATAGCTTCTCTAAATTCACTCAGATAAAAATTATAGACTATAACAGAGTTATATGTGACCACCAAAATACAAGCCTGCCTGCGTGCGCGCGCGCGCGCACACACACACACACACACTAAATAGATACTACAAATCAGTGATAGCTATTTAACTGGACATAGAAAAAATAATTCCTACAGAACTTTTCAAAAACCCTGAATTCCTTATTGTTACATTCACAATATTATTTACATTTGCACCAAAACTAAGACCCAGAAGTATCTGAGAAGTGACCTCAACCTCCCACCCTTGTACCATGTATACAACCAATAAGTTGTACCATTCTTGCAAATTTCCAGGAAGGCAGTGTGAGGTCACCTTTATGTTTTCCTTTTCTTTCATTGCCTATATGAAATCTTTCTCTGAATTCTGTCATTTCTCTCCTCACAGTGTCCCCTGTGTTATCTTTGCTTCCTCATGTCCCTGACTCTCTTCCTTTAAACTGGCTCTTAGCTCCTCTCTAATCCCTCCAGGGGTTTCCCAGCAGATCTTCCTGACTCCAATGTCTCAGCAGTCCAGTCCCCCTGCAAAATCTTAGCAAGTTCATTTTAGGTTAAAATTTTGACATTTTAAATATGGCTCACCACTTCATGTGAAAATGATGGCACCCCACCAACCAGTTTGCAGGGTTACGGTAACTGTTTCATGTTAAGGATGTTATTCATCCAGTTACAATTTTCTCAAAACTCCTTTGGGCACTCTTCACTTTTAATCGAATTTTAAGGTCAATATTTCATTTTGAGAATATGAAAAGTAAATTGGGAAATTCATCCTTGTGGTAGAGTTTACAGATTTTTAATGTTTACACATTTATCCTGTTCTTTGATATATTAAGTTCCCTTCCAGCTCCAGAATTATGTGATTCTGTTTCTTTGCCAGTAAATTAGAAATGATTAATTTCTCATGACCAACTTCTGAAGAGAAAAACCCAACCCAAATACAATCTGTTACTATTCTTTTTTCTAATAACTAAAAATAAACTTATTTAACATTTGATGCTTTAAATTTGAGATACACTAGATATTTTTAAGAAATTTACTTTAAAGGAACTTCACACAGTTCAGATAATAACAATTTAATAATTTTATCCCAAAGAAATCACATTATTTGTAACCCATGGCAACAAAATAGGTTCATCTTAAAATCTGCTTTAAAAATAATTTTCCATTTGGAACTCTTAGGTATAATTTAAGAAGAAAAATTTCCTAGGAGTATCAACAAATAGTTATGCAAAGTTCCTTAGGTATAATTTAAGAAAAAAAATTTCCTAGGAGTATCAACAAATAGTTATGCAAAGTTCCTGCATGTTTTTTAAATAAACATGGCACTATTAAAGTTTTATGATTCATATCAATGCACTTATCAACTTGATATTATCAAATATAAATACAGTATTTTTCTCAAGTAAAATCCCTTTTAATGAATGATATAAAATATTGTCAACTTTTATAATCCCAGAGTTAAATACTATTTGAAAACCAAAAAGAAGCATTTAAAATAAAAAGGTATTTCAAGACTACTTCTTATCACATAATTCAAAAAGTCATTGTATCAAATTGTACAAAATGTCTTCACTGAAATTCCACTTGTGCTGAGGCCATTTACAATCAGCAGGCATTAATTAAACATTTATTATATGCTCAGTTCCATTCTAGGTGTATGTAATACACAGTTCCTTATATCAAAGAGCTTTAAATATTACTTTGTGGCATTAGTTAACACCTATGAAAACAGCAGCAGTGTTTAATTGTGTTTAATTCCATGGTACAAGACATCAAAGAATTAGGAGTCAAAGACAATTTCTTGATAAGGATGAGACTGGACCTTATCCTTGAAAGAATCTGAGGGATATAGGATTTTATTTATATTCCTTTTGGGAGAATACTGAGAAAATCTTCCTTAGAAAAGGGAACACATTAGAAAGAAGTAAAACATGAAATTGAAGGTAGAATACCATCCTTCACCCACACCAACCAATATCTGTCCTCCCTTACTGAGACTTATTTTTGTTCATAACCCCTAGCACCACCTTCCATAATATTTATTTGTCTGTGTCACCTACTACAGTGTGAGGACAATGAGCAGAGACATTGTCTATCTGTTCACTTTTCCATGTACAGCACATAGAATGAATGGTACCTGGCATTTTGCAGGTGCTCAAAAATATTTTTAAATGAATGAATTAATTCAATCAACACCTTCAAGGTATCACTGTTACCTATAAGAGGCAAGTACCACGCTAAGTTCTAGAGACAGAGCAGTGATATAACCAGACCAGTTTTGGCCCCAGTAGGGCTTATGGTCAAGCATTGAACAAGTGTTCGCAAGTGTGCTGAATGTTTCAACTGAACATGGCAAATTCCTCATGAATACACTAAATGTCAACCCCAACCAAGATAGCAGTGGTCTGGGAGCTCCCTGGAAGTAGATTTAAACTGAAGACTAGCAGTTAGAGACTAGCAAATGGAAGGAATAAAAAACAGACAAGTTGATCTACAACTCCAGGTGCTATAGTCAGAGTGATTTGAGAGAAGCTTAGAGAGATGAGCAGGGTCTATATCACATAATGCATGACAGACCACACTAAGGGTTTCAAAAGAGGAGTTGCTATCAGATTTTCATTAAAAGAAAGAAAGAAAGAAACCCTGGCTACACTGTTGAGCCTGGATTGAAGTGGAGCAAAAATGGAAATGGAGAGACCAGTAATTCAAAAGATGGGGGTCTAGGGTGGTAGTAGTGTGTCCAAAAGAAGTGGACAGATTTATGATAATATACAAAGAACTACATGACTTGGTAAGCCATTTTTTATGGGGAAGTGAAGGAGAATGAAACATCATGGATAACCTCCAAGTTTCTGTCTTGAGCAACAGTAGATGGTGGGACCATTTACTGAGATAAGGAAGGAGTTAGTGTGGAGAGGAAGCCAAGGAGTTCAGTTTGGACACATGGGAGTACTGGTTGCCTTGAGACTTCCAAGTAAATCTGAGTAGAGTATTAGATATGTGGGCTTGGAATTCATGGTATAGACTTTAAAGTCACTGGCAGATTTGTCATACTTGAAGCCATGGCTATGGATGAGCTCACTCAGGGAGAGTGTGTAGGGAGTAGGTGAGATTCAATGCACTCAGAATTGGGCACTATTATAGTCATCCGACCTTAGCCTACAAATGACATGGGGGCCATGTCATCTCCCATGAACTTCAGCTTCATGTCACTCTGCCATAGCCCATGATGGACACCCCATAGCCACATGATGGACACTTTTATCATTCAGAACAGTTCCACACTGGAAGCTTAGTCTCCAGTGATCCCCTCAGGGACTGATTCTCCTCTTTCATGCCCTCACTTTACCCTCAAAGTGATGTTAGTCCTCTGACCCCTCATCCCCCATTTTCTTACAGCCTACAACTTCTTGGTGGACCCTTGAACTACTGTCATCAGCACTTCCACTCCTTATCCAGCAACCCTAGATCAATCACATAATCCATATCTATTTTCATACCCACCTCGTCAGCACAGATTGGTAACATTTTAAATCTTCAGATGTGTCCTCAATATGCTCAACAATCCTCTTACTTCCTTTGTTCCTTTTTGTTCCTTCTCTTCAGTCGCTGATTGCAAATGTCCCCATACTCTTTAAGTACTTCAGTTCAGTTGCTCAGTCATGTCCGGCTCTTTGCAACCCCATGGACTGCAGCATGCCAGGTCTCCCGGTCCATCACCAACTCCTGGAGCTTGCTCAAATTCATGTCCATGGAGTCACCCTTTATTTTCAGTAGGTGAACTCACCTCCTACTCTTCTGAAACAACTGAAACCAACAGTCATGAATTATTTGAACTTATCATCCTATCCCTTGCAAATTTAACTCCATGTGTCCCCCTTCTATCCTTCTTGGCCAACTCACCCTGTATTCTTCATTCCATTTCCTTTGGGAACTTACCCTATTAAATTCTAATATACCTCCTACATATCCAACTTGTTTTCCCTCTAGATGTTGCCTCCTCTCTCTGTTCTCCCTTCCTAGCCAAGGTTCTTAAAGCATAGTCTGTAATCACAGTCTCTACTTTCTCACTTCCTAGTTACTCTTCTGCCTTCTATTCCCACTACCTTACTGAAATTGCTCTGGAAAAAAGCCACCAACAGCATCCAATCTGCTATATTCAGAGGCATTTTTCAATTCTAGTCACCCTCATCCTCCCCTGCTCTATTGGGCACTTCCTGCTGTTCATCTGTTTTTTACTTAATTATCTATTTCTTCTCAGTTTCCTTCGATGGTTTCTCTTCTGCCCATCCTTAAATGTTGGCTTCTCCTGGACCCATTATTATCATGTGTACATTTTCTCCCTTGGTTTAACGTCCATGTGTTGAAGTGACTGTGTTCCCCAGGTAGTGCTAGTATTAAAGAACCCACCTGCCAATTCAAGAGACATAAGAGACTCGGGTTCCATCCCTGGGTCGGGAAGATACCCTGGAGGAAAGCATGGCAACCCACTCCAGTGTGCTTGCCTGGAGAATCCCATGGACAGAAGAGCCTGGCAGGCTACAGTCCATAGGGTCACAAAGGGTCGGACACAACTGAAGCAACTTAGCACGCACACAATTGAAGTGACAGCGAAAGTCCTAACCCATTGTTTCTATCCCTGCCCTCCTCTTGGCATCCAGATCCACACATCTACCTGCCTGCCTGTCCAAACACTGATCTCTCTGAAGTCTCCAGTACCCATCATATTGTCCATCAAAATGAAACTGCATCCATTTCTCTAGAACATCCTTCTTTACAAAACTCCCAATTATTCTGAGTGACTGTCCTCAAGCAATCAAAGGCCTTCCCTTAATGCTTCAGACTCCCTCTCTTTTTCCCTGTGTGTATACACCTCTATATGGACTTCCCTGGTGGCTCAAATGGTAAAGAATCTGCCTGCAATGCGAGAGACCCAAGTTTAATCCCTGGGTCTGAAAGATCCCCTAGAGAAGGGAATAGCAACCTACTGCAGTATTCTTGCCTGCAAAATTCCATGGACAGAGGAGCCTATCAGACTGCAGCCCATGGGGTCAGATACGATTGAGCAACTAACACATACACATACACATACATATGCCTCTATGTATCTCCATGTAACCCTGCATATCCCCGCATATCTTAGCGTTTGCCACATTCTATTGAAACTAACTATTTATATATTTCTTCACCTATGAGAATATAAACAGATCCACAATGGTGAGAAGTGAAAGGTGACAACTTTTTTTATCAGTCCAAAAAATATCAGATTCTCACATAAACTGCAGTCTCTATAATGAGTCATTCTCACTTGAATTGCAGTCTCTTATTGATATAAAGTGAAGTCACTCAGTCATGTCTGACTCTTTGAGACCCCATGAACTGTAGCCTACTAGGCTTCTCCGTCCATGGGATTTTCCAGGCAAGAGTACTGGAGTAGGTTGCCATTTCCTTCTCCAAAATATTTCTTTGAGCCCTTTTTTTGGGGGGTGGCAAGAATACTGGAGTGGGTTGCCATTCCCTTTTCCAGGAGATCTTCCCGACCCAGGGATTGAACCCAGATCTCCCACATTGTAGGCAGACGCTTTACCCCATCTGAGCCACCAGGGAAGTCTTACTGATATAACTACTCAATAAAAGTGAAGAGAAAAATTAACACAGAGAGATGAAAGAAAACAAAGAACTATCAAAAAAACATGTCCCTATATCTGAAACTAATGACTGTGGACAAGAGACAAGATTCAAGAAGGATTATAACCAAGAATGGACTAAGTAGTGACTTTAATCCTACCTCAGAATTCTTCCCCTAATTCTTATAAGGAAGTGTATTCACAAATAATAGAAACTCCAATAGAGGAAAAATTATTCTCTCACTCCCTCATTTTTCTTTCATTTTAGCAAACAAGTCCTGTAAGTGCAATGCTTGTGCTGGTGAAGTCGCTATCAGGACCAAGAGAATATATAGTGGACCTGGAGATGCTGACAGTCAACAGTATAGGAACCTTCCGCACTAGTTCAGTGTTAAGATTGACAATAATAGTGGGGCCATTTTCATTTTAGTGTTTTTAAAGAGTCCACTGTAGGCATTTAAATCAGCCAAAGAATATTGTTATCTTAAAGCACTATTTTATTTATAGACATATCTAGTTCATCTACATCTATATACTGTACACTCATGAATAATTCAAACAATTACACCATGGTATAAAGTGGGCATTTAATCTGTAAAGATTCAAAGGTTGTCTTTCTTACTGTATGTAAATTATACATTAATCCACTAAACTGGTCTTCAAGAGAGAGCTAAGCATACTCTTTAGTGAAACTTGGATTCTTTTCTGGAAAAGTGGGACCACGCAATGATTGTCTTCTGTGGTGCTTAAGGAAACTTACCACAGCTCCACTGACAGTCTCATAAGGAGACAGCCACCATAACATTGAACAGCATGCAAGTTCAAGAATGAGATTTTAACTGCTTTGTAAGAAAATGGAAAAAGTCAATAAAGATATATTTCTTTAGAAAATGAGAATATTTGTGTTGGTTTTTACTTTTAAGATCAGTCTAAATGTAGTTGTTTATTACATAGTAATAAATCACTATCACATAGTATAGTAGTTTCTATATTTTACATTTTTTCAGAAATTTTTGTTATGATTATAAACAAAAACAGTAAGCAAAATTCCCACAATGAATAAGATATCCCCTAGAAAATTATTATATTGAGAAATCTATGGGGAGGAGATGAGAAAACAAATTCATTTCTAAACCACTTTGGAGTTGACCAGAAGAAGCACACTTGGTGTACTAGTCAGTTTAAGTTGCTATAACAAAGTACTATAGACTAACCAAGTGGCTTATAAACAACATAAATTTATTTTCACAGTCTGGAGGCTGGAAGTCCAAGATCAGGGTGCCAGCATGGTCAGGTTCTGGTGACATGCATAAGTCCTGACCTTCTACCCCCACCTCTAAAATATATGTAATTATAGAAGTACATATAATCTATGTGTTAAAATGTGTCTGTGTGCTCAGTTGCTCAGTTGTATCTAATTCTTTGTGACCCCATGGAATGTAAGCCACCAGGCTTCTCTGTCCATGGAATTTTTCAGGCAAGAATACTGGAATGGGTTGCCATTTCCTACCCCAGGGGATCTTCCCGGCCCAAGGATTGAACTCACATCTCTTGCGCCTCTTGCATTGTGCCACTTGGGAAGCCCCTGCATAGGTTATATATACTTCTGGCTTCCCTGGTAGCTCAGCTGGTAAAGAATCCACCTGCAAGGCAGGAGACCCTGGTTCAATTTCTGGGTGAGGAAGATTCTCTGGAGAATGGATAGGCTACCCACCCCAGTATTCCCTGGTGGCTCAGTAAAGAATCCCCCTGCAACGTGGGAGGCCTGGGTTGGGAAGACCCCCTGGAGGAGGGCATGGCAACCCAATCTAGTATTCTTGCCTGGATAATCCCCATGGACAGAGGAGCCTGGCAGGCTGCAATCCACAGGGTTGCAAAGAGTCGGACACAACTGAGTGACTAAGCACACACAATAATATATTCTACAAATATTTTATACATTATAATTTATATATTTATATAATTTAAATATAATCTATGATAAAATAATAATATATTTTGTGTATATATATTTTTTGGACCTACAGAAGCCATTAACTGCAAACAAGATGGTTTCCCTTTCATCCCAACACCTAGTCCTATTCACAAATCATAAACGCATGAAAAGGGTTGATAAAGTGTCACTGATGCAATCCCTTTTCTTCTTTTTAATAGTAAAATACAGATAAAACGCACCATTTTAGAGTGTACAATTCAGTGGCGTTTAGTATATTACAATATTATGCAAATATCACTACTACCTAGTTTTGTAACATGTCCATCACTCAAAAATAAAGTCCATACCCATTAGCAGTCACTCATTATTCCCCCTTCCCACAAGCTTTGGTGGGAGTTACCACTTGTCTACTTTCTATCTCTCCAAATTTGCCTATTCTAGATGTTTCATCCAACTAGAATCATACAATAGATTTCCGTTTGTGTCTGGCTTCTTTCACTTAGCATAATGTCCTCAAAGTTCAGCCATGTTGTAACATATGTAAGTATTTCACTCCATTTTATGACTGAGTGATATTCCATTGTATAAATATACCACATTTGTTTATCCATTCATCAGTTGATAGACTATAGTTGATAGGTTGTTTTCACCTGCAGTTTCTTTGTATATGGAGTATCCAAAAGGAAACTGATTACAGTCTAAATCACCCATTTTTAGTTTCATTTTTAACTAAAAGGAAGAGCAAGTGAAAAACAAATTTTATTTACAGAAGCAAAATCCTGAAAGAAACTAACACATGAGTCATTTCATGAGTACAATTGTCCTCAGTAAACATAAAAATCTTGTGCTCTCTTCAAACGTAATTTGAAATTCAAAATAAAGTAAATATCATCACTGAAAACAAACCAAAGCAGTAAGGCAAAGCTTTGTTTTCAAACTACACATGACTCCCACCTTCCCTCCTCCATGAGAATCACTGATTTAAACCAGCTCCCATGGATAAGAATTATGAAAATAATTCATCAGCAGAGTCACTATTATTCAGCAGCAAACATTAATCGAGCAGCTTCTATGGTGGTCTCTTCCAGCATCTAACAGTGTGATGGAACATAGACGAACCAGGGTTTGAGTCTCAATTCGAACATTAACAAGTTATGAGACTTAGCTTCTTGGCACCTTGGTTTCTTTATACATAAAACTAGGATATTGAAACAAGGTGTTTTTTTTTTTTTTCATCTTTAAAAACTATATCTATTCCTTATACCTGAGCTGCATTGAGAGAAAAGGTGGCTTTATTTGCCAAACTTTTTACAACACTTGAGTCTTCTTTGTATGCAGTGGCTGTTGGGAAGCACTGCTGCTGCTGCTGCTGCTGCTGCTAAATCGCTTCAGTCGTGTCTGACTCTGTGTGACCCCAGAGACGGCAGCCCACCAGGCTCCCCCGTCCCTGGGATTCTCCAGGCAAGAACACTGGAGTGGGTTGCCATTTCCTTCTCCAATGCATGAAAGTGAAAAGTGAAAGTAAAGTCGCTTAGTCGCGTCTGACTCTTAGCGACCCCATGGACTGCAGCCCACCAGGCTCCTCTGTCCATGGGAGTTTCCAGGCAAGAGCACTGGAGTGGGTTGCCATTGCCTTCTCCCTTGGGAAGCACTGGACACTGGTAAAAAAGAAAACTAATAGCTCCTACCCCAAAACATGTCTTCAAACTGAGAGTTCATTGCCAGGGACAAGGACATGAGAAATAATCCAGTTTGGCTGTAAATTTTTAAATTACAATTCAAAATAACTTTTTTTGGTTTTCACTGTTAAATTATGCATGTTTTGCTCATTTCTACTGATTCTAACTGAAATATTATTTCTCATGTTAAACTGAAAATGATTTTACTTTGTTTTGCCAGCAAAAAATTCAAGTCATAGGTTCCCACACTTCCAAACATGCTTCCAGAAAAACCACATGTTCTTACTCAGTAAGCTTCAATAATGAAAACTGAACTAGTAATTTCCATCACCAGTCCAATGCCCATACCTGGGTTCTGAAACTTCCATGCTCTCTGACTGGACAGAGGTATTTTCTGATAGCAGTTAGAAAAGACCTCTTGGTTGCTAAGACATCTCAAAAGGAGAATAATTTCCCTTCAAGCTGCCAAATTTCCCTCTTAAAATAGGTTTTTTGACAATAGGCAGACTTCATCTCTTCTAAACATAAAATCTCCCATTACCTACACTTCTTTTTAATAATAATAGGGTTCTAAACTTAGATGCCACCTGGTGAAACCAAGTTATTAACACTTGCTCAACCTACTCTGTGGTTTATGGTGACCTAAATGTGATTCACTTTGCTGTACAATAGAGACTAATACAACACTGTAAAGCAACTATACTCCAATCATAAATAAACAAAACTTTTTTAAAAAGACTTTCAAGGTCACAGTTTATTGAGCAAGAGCACTGTGCCTTGAATGAATGTCTTATGACTTAGATTAGGGCTCTTTTTGTTGGCTATACTCCAAGTTTCAACACCAACAAGCAATCACTTTCCTTCCAAGCTTCTTCCTGCAGTATCCACCCCAAACTGTGGACCAGCTTTGCTGATTACCACAAGCAGTTGTCACCACTGCTGTTAACTGCAAAAGGACTGAAATAGCACAGGTACTAACCTGATTCTGATTTACTCTGTTAAACTTTGCTCATTTGTTCTCTAAAAAACCTTCAGCGAGGCGAAAAGAACTGTTACACAAAATACTTCTGAACTCTAGAAACTGAAACTCAAGGACCAATCATGTAGACCTTACTATACTTGAGAGCTTAGAAATTTCTAAAAAGAAAAAAGAAAGCCTATTCCTAAAGGTACAAACAGAACTCTCTGCATGGGGGAGCTTTGAGAGCGACAGTAAGGGTGGAAAGGGGTTAGTTCTAATGAGGTTCTCCTCATTCAGAAACTAGACCAAAAGACAATGAGTCCTTCCTCCCATAAGATCAGTGGAAGGTAAGGGGTTAATGAAAGATTACTGCCAGTCCTGATATCAGTTAACATTCATTGGGTGTTTATTGAAGGAGCAAACAACGAACATCATCACCTCATCACCTAAAGCATTCTTGCTTTAGAGGTTTGAAATAACATAAGAGATACCATATTTTATTAACAACTCAGCTGACTGTGGGACTTTTGGTTCCTTCACAATGTTTAAGTTGAAATGATCTCCCTGGAGCTTCCTTGGTGGTCCAGTGGTTAAGAATCCACCTTCCAATGCAAGGGACATGGATTTGATCCCTTGTTCAAGAACTAAGATCCCACATGCTGTGGGGCAACTAAGTCTGTGCACCACAACTGTGAAAGCCCACACACCCTAGAGCCCGTGCTCCACAAGAGAAGCCATCACTATGACGCAGTGCAGAAGCCTCTGCACTGCAACTAGAGAATGAACCCCCACTCACTGCAACTAGAGAAAGCCCAAGGGCACCAACAAAGAGCCCATATGCTGCATTGAGGACC